CTTCTATCAGGTTCAGAGTAGTTGGATTTATGTTGAGGTCCTTGATCCACTTGGACTTAAGTTTTGTGCACGGTGACAGATATGGATCTATTCGTAGCCTTCTACACGTTGATATCCAGTTATGCCAGCACTATTCTTTGCCCTGGAGGGGATGGGAATGGGGGGTGGGCTGGGGGGAGGGCGGGGATGGGTGGGAGGGGGGAGAAAGGGGAATCCATGGCTGATATGTAAAATTAAATTTAATAAATAAATTTGAAAATGAAAAAAAGAAATAAAACCCAAAAAAGACTTAATAAGAGGAAATTGGTTAATGTCAATAGCTATATTTTCTGTTTGCATTTAGAAATGATGGATTTCGAGGGAAGTATCTGATATTATTAGAATAAATTAATGGGTTGCATTTGATTACACTAAATTTTCCCAATAAATTCAAAATTTATTGAAATCATGATTTATTTAGTCATTACTAATTGGTCTAAAAAAGAAAATTTCACCTTACCCATTTCATTTGAAATATCTTTAATCTAAGTTCTATAATTCTACTACAAAATAGCTATTGTACAGAAATAAAATGAACAGTTCATGAATTGATATTCAAATAAAGAAGTTAAAGTAATGATGAATTGATACTTTGATCCTTAAAACAGATACAATGTTGTACATTGTATGCTTTATTTTTAGTTCTTTTGAATGAGTTCTCAGCAAAGGAACTTCTAACCATATCAGATCACTTACAAATTAATTATATCAATATTTTCAATTAAACTACTACTGACTTTATTTTTGTAGAGATCACTTCTTGACAATTATACTATTCTACAGCAATGCTCATTATTACTTATTTTAAGATATTACTTGTACTTAAATATTGACTCAACAACTATTACAGTGAACATTGTACATGTTTAAAAAAAACAGAAAAGAAACCATTGTCTCTGAATTCGGGATGCTTATTCAGTCAATCAACGACTAATTGCATAAGATGGTGATCCCATCATTTTATTACATAGTTCTAAATGTTTCTCTTCCTGTGAATTCATAGCTGAGGAAGCAAGAGTCAAAGACACTGAAAAGAAAAAGAAAATCCTCAAAGAAAATTCACAATAAAGAGTTTAACTGAAGCCTTTATTAAATTCAATGAGCTCCTTAAAGTTTTGAATCCTTCAACATCAAAAGACTTTCTTTTCTCTGTTAACATACAAGTGTGTGGTGTGTATGTTAGTGTGAATGTATATATATGAACATGTGTATAGAGAGGCAGGAAGTTGACAAAAAAAGTCTTCTATTGTTTTGATGTTTTCTTTTGAAGTGTGCTTCACACTGAATGTTTGGTTCACCTATCAACAAGAATGGCTGGCTAATTAGCTCAAGAACTTTTCCTGCCCCATCCAGACATCACTGTCAGCTCCCCTGAAGTGCCCCCTTCCTATTTCCTTCACCTCATTCCCCACCCTGCCAACTCCCAAGACTAAAGTCACCAATAACAGCTTTTACGAGTGTGAGTGTGAGTTCTGGTTATCCATATTCAGATCTACAGGTCCTCATGCTTGTGTGACAAGCACTTGACTGGGTGAGTCATTTCCCCTGATCCTAAAGACTACTTCATTATCTGTCTATAAGCAATTTGTGATGAAATTATCAATGAAAATAAACTCACATGTGTGCATTTCTTAGAACCCTGACTCCTGTTGTTGAAAAATACCAGGCATGTTCAACAGGGGAATTGCAGAGGGTGGTGCTGGAATCCTGAACGGAAACTTATAAATTCTCACCTGAATGCCTTATAGTGGGATGAGAAGTGGAAGGGGGGAACTAATAATTCATAATCCAACCTTTAAGAAAAGGAGTAGGTTGATGTTTTTGTTTTTGTTGACACATTTAAAAATACAAAATGCTTGGCTTTTTTCAAATAGAGATAAGCTCACACAATAAGAAGACAAAGACATTTTCCTATTGTACATTGTGCTTTAATTATAAGGTAAGTGATATTACAAAGGCCTCTGAAACTTGAAAACTTAAAGAGTATACAAAATAAAAGTCAGAGTTGCTTCAGTGTGGTGGTGCAGCCGGTCACGTCCCGTGCGTGGTCACTCCGCAAAGATGCCTGAGGAAACCCAGACCCAAGACCAACCCATGGAGGAGGAGGAGGTCGAGACTTTCGCCTTTCAGGCAGAAATCGCCCAGTTGATGTCCTTGATCATCAATACTTTCTATTCAAACAAAGAGATCTTTCTGAGGGAGCTGATTTCAAATTCATCAGATGCTCTGGACAAGATCAGATA